GGCTGCCAAACCTATTGAATTCTTTGGGGAGAGCTTGCTACAACTTTGAAATGTCCAGACAGGCTGTTCTGTACATAAAAATCTGTTTTATATTCCTCCTTATTTCCTTCCTGTGTGGTAGAACTTCTGTCCTGCTGTTGAAAGGAGTGGTACTTTCCATTGTCTTGGGACACCTATTTCTTTATTCCAAGACTTTCTCCTTTCTTTAAGAGCAAAACCTGATTTTCTGAGAGGGACAAAAGAAAGTCTTTTACCAGCTTTTGAATCTCCTCATGTTTCCCTTGGCTTCATTCCTCAAAGGGTTTTGGTGATTTATTTTTGTTGTTCTTGAAGTGAGATGATACTTTTGATGATACTGGTGTTTCCTTGCTTGTGTGGCCAAGTAACACCTGCTCCAGCCTTGAGATGTTTCCGCTTCTGGTTTCTTACAATCCTGACCTGCTGAAAGAGCTGATCTTTGGGGTGGGAGGTGTTAGTCTGGGGTTCCTTGGGGACCCTTTATCTCACAGGGGCTTGAACAGAGGATATTTGAGTAGCTCTTACCATGTGTTCCTCACAGGCAGGACTACTGACAGACAGGGGAAAGGGAAATCCCCTTCATCTGGAAAACAGGACACTCCTGGATGTGGGATGAGCCTTCCCTGGGAAGGAGAGAGCTGCTCTACCTGTACCTCACTGGAGTTTAAGCTTGGTAGAACTTTGTGGCTTTGCCAGTGAGGCAGATCAAGTTGCTGGTGGTGGCCACTGAGTTTTTGGAGACTTTGAATTTTGTGACCTGACCTTGAATTATTCATACTTTGGCATTGAGCAAAATTAAGGCCAGAAGTTGTTTTGGGGGAGTCTGGGGTGTTTGGGAATCAGAGGCTGTTTTTCTTTAAGGAATGTCAGTGACTTTGTTTTAGTGTTTGGCGTAGTCTTCTAAAATGCCTTTTCCCCAAAGAAAGGAACAGATAACACTTTTTTTTTTCCACTTTGTTTGTGAAGAACTTCCAGAAAAGGGTGTAGTGAATATTTCATCACTCTAAAACCTTTTTTTATGCTTTTTTCAATCACTATTTTTATAACGTTTCCTTTAACTAAACGGATGTCTGTGCAAACCTCTCCTGTTGGTGTGAGTGGGACTTGGGGCTGCTCCGGGTTCCAGCTGCGGTGTCCATAGGCGTGAGAGCAGCACAGCGAGCTGCGGAGAGCCCTGGAGAACCAGCCTGGCTCCTCCACCGCTATCTCCTGGTTTTGCTTTGCCTTCCCCAGGAACACCTGGCACAGGTGCCACCGCAGCTGCGAGCGCTCTCGGTGGCGGTGGGAGCGCGCGTCCCCCCGTCTCGCTGATCGCTGTGTCCCTGTGCCCGTATCCCGAGCCGCTTCGCCGTTCCCCTGGCTGATCGCTGTGTCCCTGTGCCCGTATCCCGAGCCGCTCCGCCGTTCCCCTGGTTGGTCGCTGTGTCCCTGTGCCCGTATCCCGAGCCGCTCCGC